CACGCTCCCTCTGCCCTCACTGCCCTGACCTTCACACACAGACGAGTTATTTTCTTCTGTGTTTGTTCCTTTCTTCTGCTCCTCGGCGTCGTCTTTACTGGTCGGTGTCTTTCTCGCAGAGTCGACCTGAGTTTCATTTGAATTCATGGAAGCCAGTGTTTTCTTTCTTTCCTACAAAATAAGGAATTTACTTGGCATTCATTGAATCAGGACAATCATAAAAAAGAAAATAATTAATTCATTTTTAAAATGTTTCTTAATCAGTTCATGTTTAAAACGTTATTTCTTACGCAGGGTAATTGTTTTGTCTCTTACCTCTTTCAATTCTTCCACCTCTTTTGTCAGAGAGCAGACCATGTTCTCCAGCTTTTTCTTTGCGTCCTTCTCCTGTTGTAACGCCTACAAGTGCCATGAGATCAGTTCAAATCACAAGACCTCAACACAGGCCCACATTAAATGCACAAATATGGCTGAAGTATGAAATCTTTTTTCAGTTTTAGTTAAAGGCCAGACATACCGAGTTAGCCTGTCCAGCCTCCCTATGGGCCTCGGCCAGCAGCTCCTCTATACTCTCCAGCGTGTCCTGCAGGACATCCACCTGGAACAACAGAGCCTCCCGCTCCACCTCCAGCCCACGCAGCTCCTGCACCACCTCGTCATAGCTGGCCTGCAGCTCCAGCTTCAACACAAACACATTTGAGAATCAGTGTGGGCAGTTTGAGAAGTTATGTTCAATGAGTGGGAAGATATTCATGTTTAGTGAACTCTTTATAATATTCTGCATAAATAACACGCCTCAACTTGACATTCAATAGTACTAATATAGTGCCATGAGATCACAACTAGAGAAAAAAAAACAAGTAAAAAAAAGTATTCACCATTTCACCAGGAAGGCCCATGAGGAGATCTTTGTCAGACTGCTGAAAAGATAAAAACATAAAAAATAAAACGTCACGTTATTATGCAGTTTAAAGTTAGTCAATGATGTGCTCCCTGGTGCCACCTTCTGGTCCCAATCCGCCTTCTTGTACCACTGATAATACAGAAAGCTGACACTGGACAGGGGATTTCCTTGTCACTGGTTTGATGAAGTAACAGCTTACATTAGTAGACCCTCCTCACTCCTACCTGACTGTCAGTCCTCTTCCTCAGAGTTCGACTGTCACTTCGTGTCAAACGTCTGGATGAATTCTCATTCTGACAAAGGCACAAAAAAAAAAATCATTTTAGAACAGGCAGAGGTTGGCCAGCATGATCTCATTACGCAGTCCAGGGCTTTGGGAAGAGTTGCAGTAATAGTTTTATTTATTTATCATTAATTATTAATCTATTATATTTTATTGTATTTATGATTTATACGTAATTGTTCACTTTTAAAGTTGTATCCAGTTTCGTTTTTTTTTAAAAAATATTTTCACTTCTGCTCTGAAAACATGTATAATGAACCACTCATGAGTTTCAAAAGCATGTCCTACAGAAAACAATTTTGAAAAACATCTCATATTAGACATGTTGGTGTGAGGTCTGTCTGCCTCCTTTCCCTCCTGTCTGTTTCTCGGGGTTAATTAGTTACTCATCAAACTCACCTGTGTCCCAGGTTTCCCTGCTCATTAGTCTCATTGGTGTCACCTGGGTAAATATACCTCCCTCACTCTCTACTCACTCTTTGTTGGATCATTGAGCTGTTCAGAGTTATGCCATTTGTGTTGTGTGTATGTGCTTCCTGTTTGGGACTTGTTCCACTTTCCTTGTTCTCATCTGGCTCTGGTTCCTGTGAGTTGACTTGAATGTTCTGATTATGGACTTTGTAAATACATTTTCTGTACCTGATCGTGGTCTTCTGAGTGTAACAACTGCATCCTGACTACAATAAACGTAACACTTGAAGACAAATGTATGGAACTTATTGGCTAGCATTGCCACAAAATAAAGCAGATGTCTTTAATGCAAGACAATGCACTTATTTTTAACAGTGTGTGTTGTTTTGTTTTTTGTTTATGTTTAAAGAGGAAAATTACCTTTAAGTTAATAGGAGAAAAAAAAGTAATCAGAATTCTTGGTCACATGAGAACAAACCTTTTAAATGTGGACTAATTATTACTACTCTTTTTTTGGCTGCTACCTAGAGGTCTCTCTTCCATCCTGTCTGCTGAACTGTTCATCGAGGTGGTGTGTGCAGCAATGGTGAGAGAAAATGCAACGATTTGTTGTCTAACCTCAGCCAATTCCTACACAGTATTAGATAAATGGTGAGAGAAAATGCAACGATTTGTGGTCTTCTGCCAATTCCTACACAGTATTAGATGTAAGTTAATAGGAGAAAAAAAAGTAATCAGAATTCTTGGTCACATGAGAACAAACCTTTTAAATGTGGACTAATTATTACTACTCTTTTTTTGGCTGCTACCTAGAGGTCTCTCTTCCATCCTGTCTGCTGAACTGTTCATCGAGGTGGTGTGTGCAGCAATGGTGAGAGAAAATGCAACGATTTGTTGTCTAACCTCAGCCAATTCCTACACAGTATTAGATATAAAAATGATGAAAAGTCTCTTGTTTCTTTCTGTTATTAGGATGTAGAAAATATTGGTGATCTGGGATGAAGACATTTCTAGAAGGCCCTCTAGCGGCCACCTAATCGTAAGCTTACATGCATATTGGAGAGTGGTTGACAATATATGTGTATGTAACTGAGTGACGTGTAGTCTTCGGACTTTCTACGTGGACTAACCCTTGTTCCCTTTTATTGCCAGTGTCCTTTGTCAAACGTCACCAAGGTCTTCTCATATCTCATGTACACAACATGTTATCATTGTTTATCTCCCATTCTCCAAACTATTCCACTTTTGCCCGTCACTTTTTTCCAGCACCCGACATGTGAACAGTATCACTCCATCTGCTTCTTATTTAATGCTATCTCCACGCTGTTCTCAGGTGTAAACATTCCGTATTTACTTAATATTAGGTAAAAGCAACATTTTCAGTTTAACTGATTTTTCCACTGTTAGTAACTAGCAAATTACAGACGTTGAGGTGGAGCTCTGACGTCAACAAAACACCAAAACAACAACACAACACAACCATGGCTCATGAATGAGGAAGTAGAGAATAGGTGAGGCCTGCCAAACACAGCCGTTAAGACTGAGTTACTCCCGTTACACAATTAACACAGCTCAATTTATGAAAACATTTAAATTAAATAACAATGTACAAATAAAACTCTAACGTCAAGCGACCGTGTACAATATGTTACTGGGTGAAAACTCTGATTTCCTCAGTGATTCATTAACGCTTACCTCCGATATGATGCTGCGCAGAGATTCGTCTTCGCTCAGACCTCGGGAAATAGTCCTCTTCCTGGGAGAACCGCTGCTGTCCAGCGACACTGAAAGCATTTTCACTATTTCTGTGTTTATATCAACTCAGTTTATGTAATAGCCGCCTCCGAGCTCTTTTACTTAGGTAAAGCTGACTGTTTCCTCCTACGCTGCAACAATTAAAGTGCGAACACCCACTCTAGTCGACGCCCAGGTCCCACTCTACAGGAGCCGCCGAGGTCCAAAAATAACCGTCGCCCTCACTCCGCCCTTCTCTGTGTAGAAGAATCAATACGCGGGATCACATGCTGTAGAAAGGTGAGCCAGAAAGGCAGGTGTTTACAGTTTTCAACCTTTTTTTTAATTTCTAAAACGCAAAATATCTGAAGCCACGGCTCTCATGCACCTCCAGCGGCAGGTTTTTTATTAAAATCTATCAAGAGTTCAGCTGTGTCGAGTATTGTTTTATCTGTCTCATTAACTGAAATCAGAGGAAACATGGACTTGAACAAAACTCGAAAGGACACATTAAAGTTACTGAAGTTTCAAAATCTATAACTCTAACACCATCTGATTTATAATTTCACAAAATCGAAAGAGCATTGGAAAATAACTTGATTTTTGTCCTCATGGTGTTCGTCCAACAATAGCTAATGCATGGCTAAAGCAGGTACACAAACACGCACACACTGCCACAAAATAATTTACTACTTAAATCTAATTATTTACTGGACCTTACATAAATGACAGAGCTAAAGCTTCTAAATGTTGTTACTGTTTCTATCTATTATTCCTAAAACTTTATGTTGCATGCTTTTATGTTCTCCAGCAGATGTCAGTAGTGCGTCAATGACGGAGCTCAGGCTGAAAGAAACTCACAGCTGCTTTAAGAAGTAAGAAGCTTTTACAACTTGAATTTAACAAGGGCTCTATCATAAACCCCTCTATATGCATACGAAAAATTACTGTTTTCTGATTGTTGTGCATGGGTTTATGGGGTTTTCTATAAGATTTTATTGCATATGGAAATAATTAGAGACATTCTTGACCCTGACTGGAATCTTACAGTTTCATAGTTTACCTCATTTTCAACAGGTCGCTCTCTAAAAGGATGAGTCAAATGCTACTACTGAGGTAAAACAAAGCCCATCCATACAGTATGTCTGATGTCACTTTGCACATGCAGTATTGTTATTTGTATTATTTAGGATTCAGAATAAAACGCCCCAAGAAAAGACGATAAAATCAATACATTTTCTTAGATGCTTTTAGTTTTAGTTTTGATTTATTTTACCTTAATGTGATTCATCCTCACACGTTTAATATACATTTATTATCATTTGGAGTGTATAATGTTATAAAAGTGTCATAAAGATAGTTAGAACCAACAGTTTGGGGTGTGGGTGGAGCGGGGGCGGGGGGGGGGGGCTTTGATTGTGCCATCATCATCATCATCATCATAATGACTTAACTGAGCAATATCTGTAATGTGGGACACTGTTGTCACCGCGAACACATGTACACTCTCATAACAGTGCGTCCTCCCTCCCTTCGCTCTGTCCCTCTTGACTTGGTGACAGACCTAAAAGCCTTTTGTTGCAATCTTAGCCAATGGAGACGGATTACGACACCGGGCAGCTGAGATATATAAAGAGCCCCTTTTTGACCGCACTTGCACATTCTTCAGTGACACTTCTGAATATCCGCACACACCTCCGTGGACTAAAATTGTACAGGAGACCGATATAACCGACATAACCATCCGAGCTTCTCCTTCATGTAGCCAGGCAATGCATTCTTCGGGGAGATAATTAGACAACTTTCAATCATCCAAGTCTCCGCAGAGACACACTGGGACGCAGTTTTGTTTCAATTTCAATTGCACAGGCTCCTGCTGCAAAAGGCAACTTCGTTTTGGATTGGATGCATGTCACTGCCTTTACTGGGATAAATCAAGGAGCAGCGCAGACCGAGAGAGGGGATATAACGGAGTAAAGGGAGCAGAAGAGGAGAGAGAGAGAGAGAGAGAGAGAGAGAGAGAGATTGAGAGTTTGAAAAGTTGCATCGCCTGGTGTTCGCGCATCGTCATGTCGAGGTACAACTTCTTGCTGTGCTTAATGGTTCTTATCTCTTTGGGACAGTCGGGGAGCGATGAACCCAATCTGCTGCTGCCTCACGCCAGCGAGACGCCCACGGATGCCGGGCTGTCTCTTCTGGACGAGGACGCCGGTGCCCACGAGTGTTCCGCCTGCGTTTGGAGGGAGCAGAGCAAAGTGCTGCGGCTAGAAACCATCAAGTCCCAGATCCTGAGCAAACTGCGTCTAAAGCAGGCTCCCAACATCAGCCGGGAGGTGGTCAATCAGCTGCTGCCCAAGGCGCCTCCGCTCCAGCAGCTCCTGGACCATCACGACTTCCAGGGAGATGCGTCGTCCCAGGATGAGTTTATGGAGGAGGACGAATATCACGCCACTACTGAGTCCGTGATTACAATGGCTTCTGAACGTAAGTAACCATTAACCTCCCAACAGTATTGTGATTTGTTTGGTAATTTTCAAGTGCGCCCCGTGCGTAATTGCGCAGCACAGGAGTTCTGATGAGCCTGTGCGCAACGATAGAACTCAAGTCAGTGAGACGTTGTGCACTTATTAAGGTTGGCGGTACAAGTCCATGGTGTTCGTATGTGATGTGTGTTTCAAGCAGGATGGTGTAATTTGACAAATGGCTCTGGTCAGCTGTTGGCCACGGCTGTCAAAATAGCGATTACGCGTGGAGCTGATAAATCAATACTCCGCCGCATAAAGAGCCTCGTCACTGTGACACCGACAGCTCCAATATGTCTCGATGAGCTTTTGTTTTCCTGACGCTGGTGATGCTTCTCTCCGCTCCTCGCCGCCTCCACTCCTGCTGTCATCTCCAAACTTTTCAAGTCGTCTTTGTGTTTCCCTGGGACGCGACGCATGGCTGAGCTTTGAACGTCAAGTGCATTATTAATGATAATGCAGCATTTGGCTGCCACCTGCATCACCAAAGCCTCTCTGACCTGCTTTGCATTAAAGCTTTTAAATTTCTGGAGTTATGATCACGTCTCGGGGCCCTCTGCTTATTGGTCCCCGACAATTTGGTTGCTCTCTCATTTCCCATAAATCCGCTGATAAACCGCGGGCAGGCCCCTCAGAGACATTTTATAAAATTACTGTTGAACCCTGGCAGCTGTGCTCTATCGCTCTTTTATAGGAGCCTCTACCGGTTTCCCTGCTGTTCATCGCAGTGAGAAAAAGTGTGTCCAAAAAGCTGCTATTGTTCCCCTCTTGCAGCGGCCCCCCTCGGCCGCACTTGCCTTTTAAATGCGAAGTTTATAGGCTCAGCTCGTTTTTTTCCACCACGAGTTCACAAAGACAGAGAATCACTTAGTGTCGAGGGGAGTGTGTGACCTTTTCCTGGCGAATTGCGGGGTTCAACAACATTTACACACATAATATATTCTGCACAAGGCGGATGAAGTACACTCCAAATAATGCTTTTCTTTCCTTTATGGCCGAACAAAATATAGGCCTTTATGAGGCAGCGTGTTGAGGTGTCCGACATTATCATCTATCATCCATCTATATGTGTCCAAATTACCTATAGCTATCAACTGATACTGATAATAAGGCTTGCTTCTACAAAAAACTCAGCATAAACAGAATGGTTTGTTGGGGTCACCCTGTGGAAAGGTGGTTAGTGCTGTTGCCTTACAACAAGAGCCACCAGTCCAATCAAAAGGAGGTACAGTTTGCGTGTTCTACTTATGTGTGCGTGGGTTTCCTCCAGGTGAACTAGTCAGAGTTGAGTTAATCAGGCACTTGGAGTGGACACTAATCTGGACCGGGTGCCGGCCGGTCGGTCGACCACATGCGTTCTGAATATTAAAGGCTCAGACTGTAAATGTTGAGCCATTGACGCCCTTTTATTAACCTGATAAAAACCTGGTAAAAGACTCAGTTCATTAGTCTGAAGCCTGTGTTCCTCCCGTAGGTCATTGGAGTGTAATTTACACAACGTCACGTTATTAAGTTAACAGCAACCACAAAGTCTGAACGTGTTCCTGAGCCTCTTTGACTCAGTCCATCAGATTATTATCATAGTTTTTGAAGTGAAGTTATATTGCTTTGACTCAGTCCATCAGATTATTATCGTAGTTTTCGCAGTCACCTCGATGTTATATTAACCGAACACTGTAAAAAGCTGAAATTGTCATCCAGCTAATTTTGCCATTAATTTGCCTAAAAAAAGTGTTGAACTATGATCTAAACTTGTTTTCAGTCACTACATCGTTGGTCGATGCTCCTTTTGTACTTGACTTCCTTGACTCCCAGCTCTTTTGTACCTTTTGTCAAATCGCCCCAGGTTTGAGTGAATCAGAGAGGTATGGATTTCTAATGAAATTTTAAGTGTATAAACTTTTCTTTGCAGTGAATCAGAGAGGTATGGATTTCTAATTAAATTGTGTATAAACTTTCTAGAATGTATTTTGCTCTTATAGTTTTATAAATAGCATAGTTAATGCAGGGGTTTTTTTGTGCTATCTGTTGCCATGTTGTTGTTTGTATACTTTACGGCACAGTTGGGTTTACGTGGAGTTTGATAAGTGCTGACAGGTACGGATCTTGTGTAATAACCTGCTGCGCTGCCTCTGCTGTTCAGATCAGTCCTACATTGGTATTATTCCCACTGCAGCATTAAATGTTGTACAGGCAGGATGCAGCTCACTCAGCTGTGCAGCCCAGGAGAGAACATTTACCAACAGACACACACGGGTTAGTCATCTGTTCTGAACTTTAACCACAGCTTCAGATATTAGGGTCAAATTAGACCTAATGGTCGGTGGAAATAAACTGACCTGACGATGTTTTTTTGTCTTATAATTTGATTTTTAGATAGCTCTTTTACATGTAAGGCTGTTTCAGAGTCTGCCCCCTGACACACACACACACACACACACACAAGTGCACACTCTCTCACACACGACTTAGCCTCACATTCCTCCTCCTTCTCCTCCTCCTCCTCCTCCTTCCTCCTCCTTTCTTCGGTACTCCAAGAAGAGTTGAGAGAATGAGTGCATCTCTGCTTGCCTGTGGCGCCTTCGTGATCCCACAGGATTAAAAGTACCTTTTTCTGTCTCTCTGATACAAGGAGCACTTCGAACAGTATTCCCCGCACACCTCGAACCCGGTCACCCTTTCACCGTCCTGCACACTGCCTCTGACGGGCCATGTGGGTTCACACAGTACATACTGGACTGGACCGGTGCCAAAGTTGCTTCTTAGTATTCACTTAAGGTACGGGGGGTGCCGCAGTGGGGGCTGAGTGGGTCCACGTCTTCTCGGTATTTAATTACTATGAAATTTCGTGGAAAGTACGGCTATTTTTATCGCGGTTGCAGCACTTTATGTTCCGAAACATCTCCCTCCGTGACGACTGATGTGCAGGTAACTGCTGCGGGCTGGTAGTTTGTGCAGAAAGAAGTGATGGAGCTCAGTTTATGTGGGTCAGTTTATCTACTGACACATTTACCATTTGCAATAACAAATACATGCAAACACTGGCCTGTGTTTGAGCGCGTTGATTTATGTCGGTAATTGTCCGGTGGGCGAGTGCAGAGTGTGTATCTTGGAGCCTGGTTTGTTTTGCTAAAGGGGTGAGGGTTTGACCCCGCTGGTCGTCCATTTGTCACATGTTTAAGACACGTAGACCAGACCTTCCTCCACCATCAGTGACCTTGCCTTCCTTTCTTCTTGTGTCCATCACTCTGCGTTTGATGTGAGTTTCTCCATGTTGTTCCACTTCTTAGATGAGCTGGAAGTAGAAGAAGAAGATATTATTCTGTCAATCCATTACATAGATTATAAAAAGGCAGAAATAATACTGTCATAAATAGATGACAAGATCGTGAAAAATCCTAAATAGTCAAATTTTGCATTTCAATTTAATTGTCCTACATATAAACAGTAGTGAGGACAGGATTGTCCTACAGATAAACAGTAGTGAGGAGAAGAGATGACACGTTATGACGAGTGTCAAATATAGAAAGTCATTTACTAACGCAGAGACCAAATACCTTAATAGACTGAGTTGAACGTTTAGAGAGAAATGTTCGTCCTTAAAGACACATCTTCGTTCTGGAACTCCGTGGTGTTTTTTTTTTTTCTTCCTTTGACTGGACAGTTAGACAACAGTGACAGTGACTAACAGTCAACAGGAGGCAACCCTGTGGTAAACTTTAATCTGCTCCTAGTGGTCGGGTGATGCAGGTACCCATTTCTAAATGAGTCCATGTTGAGATGCAAATGAAAAGTTGACCAGTGGTTTGTCTTAAACTTAGTAAGGCCTCAGATGGGAAAAAACAAAATTTTTTTTGCACTTTTTCAGAGAGTGCAGAGAGTTTGTACAATGTGACGAAGTTTTTGACAGATCATTCAGCAGCGGCAGCAGATTTTCTCCTGTAAATTGTCATATCAGCCAGGGTCAAGTCAAGAAAACAGACGTTTACTTTGGTCGAAGAACCGACCTGAGTCGCCTGTCGTTAAACTTTACTGAATATCTGCACACATTTAAAAGTCTTTATCCACATGTTGGAGGGATACCCAAGGATGCTCTCTCTCTCTCTCTCTCTCACACACACACACACACACACACTATTGACAAAAAGGGTCACAGAGTTCACAGCTATGTGATATATTGGAAGAGGAGACTATTGACCTCATCGGGTCTCTTTCTTTGGCAGCAAAGACGAACCGGTAGTAACTTGAACACTTATCCCCCCACGCATACACACACACACACACACACACACTGATCTACTAACCACTCCCACTAAAAAACAAGTCTTTTATAGTGTTGACCCTATAAAAGGGTCATTTCCTGAAGGTGCAGGAACCATAAAAATTAAGAGGGAGAGCGCTAAAAGGACAGAAGAAGCAGAAGTCGGACTGTCCTCAACTCTGAGGCCAGTGTTTGCTGGAAGTTGATGCCTAAGTGAGGCTTTTATAGATTTATTTATTCCACGGAGGTCTCAGTTTGACGATGACACCTGTTCTCCCTGTGTAGTTGCTGCCATCACACGAGGGAAAGATAAACTTTGCTGTTGGATTGTTTGGACGTCGGGGTTTGACTGGTTTGTTTAAATAGGAGTAAAAACCAAGGAAAGAAAGCTCTATAGGACTGTGGAAATTGCACAACGTACTGTCAACTTTATGGCTAATAAAATTTCAAAGGGACCAAAGTCTATTAATACAGGGACAAAATTTCCCCAGGACCTTAGGAATCTCACTCCTTCCACCCTCCTTCCCCTATTCCCACGCTCCCGTGTACCAGTCCCTGCAGCCGGGCTTTTTCCTGCTGCATGTGGGAATGGACTGTGTTTTTTTATTTAAGGAATTTCACAAATTAAAATTTGTTGATAAATTATTCCTTCTGAGGTCTTCATACTTTTACTCGAACATCACTTTAAAAAAAAAAAAGAT